GAAAACTGTTTTCATTGGCTTTTGAGCAATCAAGATGGCATTTAGTTGTATTGGTGCTTTTATAGACAAAATAAGATTAAAACTTAAAAAGTAAAGCAAGAACTTAATGACTGGTTCATTTGCACTTATCTTGTACATATTTATATTTATTTATTTATATATTTATTCATTTATTGATATTTGGGAGGCAGGATAGTACAGTTGGTCAAGCTGCTGCCTCACAGTGAGAAGGTTGCTGGATCAAATCCTGGCTGGGGACCTTTCTGGGTGGAGTTTGCATGTTCTCTCCGTACATGCGTGGGGTTTCTCCGGGTACTCCGGTTTCCTCCCACAGACCAAAAACATGCACATTAGGCTGACTGGTACCGGTAGCTCTAAATGAGTGGTACCCAACCCTGGTCCTTGAGGAACACCATCCTGCATGTTTTAGCTGTTTCCCTGCTTTCACATGCCCAATTTGAAGGATTTATTGATTAACAGGCTTTGGCAGAACTTGAGGAAGTAATTAAATCACTGAATTGCATGTGTTGAAGCAGGGAAACAGCTAAAATATGCAGGGTGGTGTTCCTCAGGGACTAGAGTTGGGAACCACTGCATTTGTCCCTAGGTGTGAGTGAGATGGTTGTCTCTTTTGTCTCTATGTGTCCCTGTGATGGACTGGAGACCAATCCAGTGTGTCCCCCACCTCTCGCACAGTCATGGGCACCAGTGGCCCCTGCAACCCAAAAAGGAAGAAGTGGGTAAAGATAATGGATGGATGACTAGATGAATGATATTTTAACACTAGAAACACAAGTTTCTGTCAGTAATGTTCGAGGGGGGAAAGTTTCTGTCAGATTTTGGATGTTACAAATAGCCATGACAACCTTTATTAAAATGTTATGAGAGATTTTGAGAGACACTTAGTCTGTCTCTGTTCACAGAAACTCAGCATTCATCTCAACTTCAAGCAGTAAAAGTACATTAAAATGCCATTACTGCCACAGTTTCCCCAAAAACTAGAAAATTTTGTTACTTATGCAATTAAACAAAACAGCCTTGTGACAAACACTGTAGCTGTCAGCTGACAACACTTTACGGGAAATAACTTAGAAACAAAAGTATTAGCAGTTGATACTCCAGCAGGGCTGTTTATGGGAGGGATAACAAGATGACAGTCATTATGGTGGCTTCAGCATCAGTTAAACTGAGACACTGAGTCAGAAAAGTTGCTCATAGCAACAAAATGAACCAAATCCCATGTTTGAATTCATGAGCTTCTGCAAAATTGTGTTTAGTTTTTCCAAATGTCATGGAAGACAAACACTTGTACAATAATACGTTATGTATGACATTTGAGCCATTTCCACGTGTCCGCACAATAAAGCTACGTAAGACAACAAAAGTCTGTCATTACAAGTTGGGTTTCTGTGAGAAAGTCTTTGAGAGCTCTGTCATAAGTAAAGGATTTGGAGGCAGAACCTTATTTTGTTTGCGTAAATGGGAATTTATTAAAAACTTCTAGTTGTCTATTAAAAAAAAAATCCTGTCTGAAAGCTTTGATCCGAAAAACCCCCATATTACGTTGGAGAAATGTCCATTATGTTTCAGGTAAAGATGAATGGTTCAGGTTGAGTCTTGTTTAAGCATTCCTTTCCAAGAATAGCAGGTGATAAAACGGAAAACATCACTTCTCCGGAAAGTCTGAAGAGCTTCTCCAAACAAAACACTGACTGTTTGAAACAACAATGACGTAACTAAATAACAAACAAAAAAAAAATACTGTTTCACGTTAGTTTAAATCCCAATAATTTACTATACTTTAACTGATTCACAATAAACTACTGCATTACAAAACTGTATATTCATGAAAAGCATCCAGAATCAGAATCAGAATCAGAATGCCTTTATTGTCATTATCAGAGTCAGAGTCAGAGTCAGAGTTTCTTTATTGTCATTCGCACCTCATGTGGTACATGTGGTGGAGCGAAATTATGTACACAAGGTCCCAGTTACATCCAACAATAAAATGTATAAGAAAAACAGTAATAACATCTAAGATATGAACTAAGAAAAACATCAACTAAATATACACTAAGCACTCATAACATAAAACATTGAACATCAGCACAAACATGAACATGAGTCTGTGAGCAGATGTGCACGCATGAACACATCAACATTGAAACAGATCAGCAGCAACATGAAACAGATCAGCAGCAACATGATATGGTTTTTCACAGTGATTATTCTAG